AAACCTGAATGTCAGAGAGAACGTCAGAGATCGGCAGGTGCAACTCCACTTCATCATATGAATGAAGTCCAGGGATGCTAAATGTTCCACCCAACAGCCACACAGAACCAGAACCCTTTCACCTGTAGACACAGACTTCTTCCTACTCTACCACATGGACTCACAGTGCTCTGGAATTTTAGATGTTGCGTTTTGTTCTTCCAGTTTCATTGAGATATAACTGACACACATCACCATATAAGTTTAAGGTGTACCACATATTGATTTGACTTACATCCATCATGAAATGATTATCATAATAAGTTCAATGAACAGCCATCATCTCTTATAGATACAGCATAAAAAATTATTTTCCTTGTGATGAGAATTCTTAGGGTTTATTCTCTTCACAATTGTCATATATAATGTGTAGTAGTGTTAATTATTTTATCATTTCGTACATTACATCCCCAGTACTCATTTATCTTACAACTGTAAGTTTGTACCTTTGTACCTTTTGATTGTCTTCATCCAATTCCCCCTCCCCCTCCCCTCTGGTAACCACAAATCTGATCTTTTTCTATGAGTTTGTTTGTTTGTTTTTGAAGTATAATTGACCTATAACACTCCATTGGTTCCTGATACACAACATAGTGATTCGATATTTTTATGCATTTCAAAATGATCACCATGATAAGTCTAGTTACCATCTATCGCCATACAAAGATATTACATAGCTATTGACTATATTTCCCACACTGTACACTTCATTCCTGAGACTTATTTATTTTGCAGCTGGAAGTCTGTACTCTTAATCTCCCTTATCTATTTATGTATTGCTTTTAAGCAAGGAGTTCTTCCTTCCTGAAATTTTGGTATTGTTTTTTATCCTTCTACATGGGTTACTGGGCCTTGGCTTCTTTAACCTAAATAGGATTTTCCTGTTACATTAATTGCTTTTGAAAGTGATCTGAACACAAATAACTATTTTTAATCTTTAAAAAATACTTTTTTCTTCTCACTTATTGTTAGAGCTCTCCCTTTTGTCAGGGTCCCAGCCCCCAAGCTGCCAACCTCACAGAGGGCTTTTTGCTTTTGCCTTTGAACTACTCAATTTCTTTCAGAAAACACATGGTTTTAAGGGATATAACTTTTTGAATTTTCTGAAGCCTGAGAGTCAAGAGAACAGATTTCATTAATGTTGACTCAACTGAAGGATGTAAGATTTGTAAAACTAAGCGGTTATCTTTGTCTTTTAATACATGCATGTAATTTCAATTAGAGTTATATTCATCTCATACAGGAGATACTAAATTTTGAGGGGGTGGAGGGCATAACGGAAGAAGGAAAGGAAAGCAACCATCTTCTCTTCCAAACTTTTGCTTTCAAAGGTACATTTCCAAAGAACATTGTTAATACACAAAGCATGAGGCTGATCACAGATAATAGGAGGCACTTTCTAGAGATCCAGTTGAATAGAGAAATCCATAAATTCTATCCCATGTTGATAAGCATTTGGACTCAAAGGGACATTTGCTCAAAATGCCTATGGCAGCTGCCACATCTCTCACAAACACTGCCTCTAGGTCAATGTTCTATTTATTCTCCTGATTCCACCAGAAGAGGACCCCCATCCTATGCCAATCTCTCTTTAGTAATTGTTACACACTTGATAACTCTTTGTTCTTTTAAGAAGACTGGACTAGCACAGGTTATCTGCAGGTATAATTTACATGAGAGTATATGAGAGTTTAATAGGAGCTACTGCTACAAAGGACATACTGGATGGTGACACACAGGGACTGTCATGCTGCTGTGTTTCTGCTTAATGGGGGATCCATTGGAACTCTGATTCCAGACAGAGAATCTCCTTTTTCATCAAAAGGAGTTGAATATATTCTTCTCCATTCCAGCTCAACGGCAGAGCACACGGGCACAGTGTACAGAGACAGGTGGCGAAAGAGCACTAAGAGAGAGATAACTAGAAAACCTGGGCCCACAAAAGCGTAGAGAAAAAAACCCCTGCAGGGCAGGTGGCCAACCAGCTGAGGTGCGCATCTCCTTAGAAATACAGCTGGTAAGGATAACGCTTAGAGTCAACACTGAGCAAGTTGCATGAGCAGACTGTTTTGTAAATAGCAGTACAGAGCCTAATGCAAGAAGGTGCTATGTCAGCATAGACTAGCTCACGATAAAGATGATTTTCACATAAGCTGCACCTAGACGGTTCCCTCCTTCGTGCCGTGTGGTCAGAATCTCTCTGCATAGCTCTCATAAGAATTATAAACCATTTGTGTCTGATGACTTACAACTTTTCCTCTCCTTTTTCCCCCTCTGCCTTTCTCCTAAGGAAGATCTGTCTGCCTGCTGGGCTCTCATAGGATGATGGCTGGAAACTGCAATAGGATTGGCGAGCTAGCAGGATTTCACATTGATAATGGAGGAACTCCCTGGTCTGAGGACAGAATAGAGGCAGAAGAGAAAGAGGGACACTGGCTCCCGCTCCCACCGCCCAACAAAAACTGAAAACAACTGAACAGAGTCTGCTTGGGAGCAGGCGCTAAGTTTGGGTAGAGATTTTAGGAAAATTAGATTTAGGACATGTGGGGCAACTATTGGTGGGTATGAGCTGTAAGTGGAAAAAGATGAGGAAACAAGTTTTCATCATTTTAGCTGCACACGGGAATGGATTCCCCTTTCATTCTTTGAGTGTCTCCAGTGAAGGTTTAAACTATTTAACAATTAATTTTAAACATCAGACTAGTATTTCTTCAATGGCAACTTCATGAGGCTTTAGGTCAAAAGGTGGGGTTCATATGTAAATTTAAGCTTCCATTAAAAGTATGGTAAACTGTGTCCATTTCTCAGTCATAACTAATTCTTTTTTTTTGTCATAAAGGCCTGGATTTAGAGAAATTTCCAAGTACTTTTATACATAGATAGCTGGATTGCATGGAGGGTACTTAAATAATATTTTCTCAATTTTGATGTTGACAGTGGGGAGATAAACAAGACTGTTGTCCTCAATGCTGCTTTAGGCAGGCTATCTCTGGACGTGTTCCAGGTGACAAAGGCCACCTTTGGTCTTTGTCAGGGGCCCCAGACCACTGGGAGTATGGGGGCCCTAGGAAGGGACAATGGGCACATGATCAATGTCTGAAACAATGCATGCCACCTCTTCACGTGAGGAGGGCATCTTTGGTTCTTGGTCATTTCCTCATCCTAGAGCTACACTCTCAAACGCAGGGCCAATGGCTAAAGGGGGTCACGTTCCCACAGGTAGAATAAAAACAGCACATAAAAGTTGGAAGTTGTGAGCTAGGAGTGCCTTGGTTCACCAAATTATTCTCTGGTTCCATTATTCACAAGGTTCCATGACGGCGGATCCTACCACTTCTTATTCACCTGTGGCCTTGGTCAAGTTTCTTAGCCTATCAACTTAGCCCTTAGATTCCTCAACTTTGAAATGCAGAAAATAATACCACCCACCTCACAAAGAGATGAAATGAGAAAACCTCTAAATAACACTCAGTACAGTGCTTGGTATGTAGGGAATGCCTATGAAGTTTACTTCCTACTATCTCTATTAATCATACTGTAAGTATTGTTACACTTAATGGCAAGGACTGACCTAATTTTCTTTACATGATTAAACGTGAAAATCTACACCTAAACTTGAAGACACATTTCTTTTACTTTCCCTTATACTCACGAATATAAGGGAATTTATGATTTCTATATAAATATGAGTGCCATTTCCTGAAGTTTGGTTATCCTTTCTAGCTTTTTCTCTACCTTTTTCATTGTCCCCATCTCCTAAATCCTTTCAAGTTTGAGCCCCTTGCCAAACACCCCAAAAGGAGGTGGCTGTTGACCATTTCCATGAATTCTTCTTTCATTATTGACCCCTGTAGCTCTGTGTTGACAGTTGTCTTTTGGCACATTTAACCCATATTAACAATGTTTGCACATTTCTCTCATCTGCCCTCCTTGATTATAGTTGACTGCAGAGGCAGGATGAGCCTTATTTATCTTTGAAATAGCTACGGCATCTGTGCCTTATTAGGTAGTAAGTATTTAATAAGTATTTTTAAAATGAGTGAGTAAAGATAAGAATAAACTATTCAGGATATGCGAGGTCATCTATTAAATTAAAAAATGGGGTGCTCAAACTCTAAATGGCTGTCCCCAGGCCCCAAGACAACACCCAATCCCACACAGCACACTGGGTTTGTGTTCACTCAGACTAGCCATGCATCTTCTCTACTTTCAACTCCAGAGCATTAAAACCAGGATGATTCTAAGACCTTGAGACTTGCCTGTTGCCTTTTTTTTTTTTTAAAACAGCTCATGCAGCTCAATATCAAAAAAACAAACAACCCAATCCAAAAATGGGCAGAAGACCTAAATAGACATTTCTCCAAAGAAGATTGCCAACAAACACATGAAAGAATGCTCAACATCATTAATCATTAGAGAAATGCAAATCAACACTACAATGAGATATCATCTCACACCAGTCAGAATGGCCATCATCAAAAAATCTACAAACAATAAATACTGGAGAGGGTGTGGAGAAAAGGGAACCCTCATGCACTGTTGGTGGGAATGTAAATTGATACAGCCACTATGGAGAACAGTATGGAGGCTCCTTAAAAAACTAAAAATAGAACTGCCTACTGCCTTTTAAAATGTTAATATATGAGAGTAAATAAGCAAGTAAACTTTGTCTCTTGAGGCAGAAAAATTCAGTGTTGTGCTTGAGTATTTTTCATCGGAGGTCAACTCTAGAGACCCTGAGCAGGAATACCCGCTCCTTGCCAGCAGGGGTAAAGTCTAATTTGCATAATGCCCCACCACACAGTAGACTCTATGTCAGTGGTGGGTTTGTTGTTTGTCATTCATGTTCCAGAAGCAATTTCTAATAATTCTCATTTCAACATCTTGGGGACAAATCTCATGTCCTGTTGTTTCCTTACATAGACATATTGAAATGTTTGAAGGTGTGCAAACACACATACCTGCTAGTGGAGTCCAGAAATCCAGTAGTGCCAGAGAGTTGGGGCCAGTCGAGCTCATTGGTAAGAGCTGTTGGTAAATTGAAGAAGGATTTCTAAAGGAAAAATAAAGTAGAAATTATCAAAATGATCACTTGTTTTCTATAAGGAGTAAGATTATCTACTGCTCAGGCATTGTGGTCTGTCTGCCTCTCTCTCACTCTCTTTCTTAATGTCTTTCTTTAAGGGCCTTTGCATTTAAAGCATATACCTCTTAAGGTTAACCATCATCAGAAAATTCACAAGATGTGGTACATACTTTCAGCAGAATACTACTCAGTCTTAAAAAGGATGGAAATTCTGACACATGCTACAACATGGATGAACCTTGAGGAAATTATGCTAAGTGAAAGAAGCCAGTCACAAAAAGACAAATACTGCATGATTCTATTTGTATGAGCTATCAAGAGTAGTCAAATTCACAGAGACATTAAGTAGAATGGTAGTTGACAGGGACTGGGGGGAGACGAAATGGGGAGTTGCTATTTAATGGGTATAGAGTTTCAGATTTGCAAGATGAAAAGTTCTGGATGTTGGTTGTATAACAGTATGACTATACTTAACACTACTGAACAGTACGTTTAAAAATGGTAAGATGGGGCTTCCCTGGTGGCGCAGTGGTTGAGAGTCTGCCTGCCGATGCAGGGGACACGGGTTCGTGCCCCTGTCCAGGAAGATCCCACATGCCGCGGAGCAGCTGGGCCCGTGAGCCATGGCCCTGAGCCTGCGCGTCCAGAGCCTATGCTCTGCAACGGGAGAGGCCACAACAGTGAGAGGCCCGCGTACCGCAAAAAAAAAAAAAAAAAAAAAAAAAAAAGGTAAGATGGCAAATTTCATTTTATGTGTATTTTACCACAATTAAAAAAAAGGAATATGCAAAAAGTTGAATTGAAATTAAATGGGATAATTTTTAGTATTAGTATGTCCTGGGCAATATTTGGAACATACTTATACTTACAAAATTATTTGTTGTGTATGTAAATTCAAATTTAAGTGGGTGTCCTGAATTTTACCTGGGAATCCCAGTTTGGATAAAATCTCGAAAAGCCAATGATCCCTTTTTGCCTTGGCTGACAGCAAAACTCAGTGCCTGGTTGCAGGAAGCAGTTTATTTCAGGAAATAATGTCATCTCCTCCATATGCTCTGTGTTTCCCAACCTTGAAAACACATGCCCCCTTTGGATGAACATGAAAGCCTTGAGTCCACCTTCAATCTTATTTTAAATGAAATCTTATTTTAAAATGAAAAAGAAATGACAGATACTGCCTAAGACAAATCACATCAAAGCAATTGTAGCACTGAACAGGACTTTTCAAATGGCCTATGGTCCTGCCCCCTGCTCACTTTCTCACCCATGATCATCCTTACCTTGTCTCCTAGAGAGACTCTGAATATGGAGGCTGTGAGGGAAGGAAAAGCCACACTTCTCTCTCCTTAACCATTCAAAAATGTATCTTTATTGTTTTTTCTGATTGCAAAGTAGTACATGCTTCTTATAAAAATTCAAACATCATAGTAATATACAATGTGGAAATGAAAGTCCCCCATCACCTCTCCTTAAGAGATAACTATTATGAGATAACCACTGTTAACCCTTTGTATTATTTATATGTATATAATATATAATGGAATCTACTCATTCTTCCTACTTCAGAGTGTGTGATAATTCCTACTATCATATAGAGAATGAGTACTCAAAAGAAATAAAATAAAATTTGTATTTCTCAGTTTTGGACTGCTACTAGTCGGATGTGTTCCCACAAAAGTTGGGTTAAAGGCCTAACCATCAACATCTCAGAATGTGACTTTATTTGTAATTGGGTCATTGCAGATGTAATTAGTTAAGTGAAGATGAGGTTGGAGTAGGAAGGGTTCCTAGTCCAATATGATTAGGGGTTCTTATAAGAAGAGGAAGAAGAGAAGCTAGGAAAGAGGCATGGAACAGATTCTCTCTCAGATCCCTCAGGAGGAACCATCCTGCTGACATCTTGATCTCCAACTTCCAACTTCCAACACTATGAGAATAAATTTACTTGGTTTTAATTCACCCAGTTTGTGGCACTTTGCTGTGGTAGCCCTAGAAAATGAGGACATGGCCTGAATTGGACAATTTGCTTATAGTCCTTACGATTCAGGGGTCCAAGATATAAACCCTTCTATTATGCTGACTTCTCAAAGTAAGTCATATAATTCCACATGCACTGGTTATCCCATGGTGCCTTGCACTCTTCTCCATGGCTCTGTGAGCTTCCTTCACTCCCCTTTCCTCAATCACCTCCCCCTTGCACATGTCAATCCCAAGGTCCCCAGCCTTATTCTTATCCCAAGTGTGATTTCCAGCACAGTAGGGGCTGGAAGTGGATGGGAGGTGGTTGGGAAGGACGGTTTCTTGGGATACATCTGTATTCGTTATGATTTATCCCCGTCAAAGGAGCAGAAACAAACTCATGGAAAGGTGGCTCCCAATAAGTCTCGGAGCACCGTGCAATTCCAGTGACTGACACTTTGTTCCCCCTTAGCAAGAAGCACCCACCACATTACCGTGGTGGAGCACGCGGGCCCCTCACTGTTGTGGCCTCTCCCACTGCGGAGCACAGGCTCCGGAAGCGCAGGCCCAGCGGCCATGGCTCATGGGCCCAGCTGCTCCGCGGCATGTGGGATCCTCCCAGACCGGGGCACGAACCCGTGTCCCCTGCATCGGCAGGCGGACTCCCAACCACTGCGCCACCAGGGAAGCCCACCGTGGTGGAGTTCTGAGCAGGAACTCTCTTTTAGTTTTTGTTCCTCCTGGCACTATAACTCAAATGTTTTCTCTGTTTATCTTATTTTTTTCCGTAGGCCTTTCTGCTTATAATGTGTGCTTATATATTCAATTCTGCTAGAGAAGACAAGAAAAACACATAGAATAGATGAAAATCATAAGCTGTGGTAAGTCGAGATGGTGAGCAAGCAAGTGGTTTGTGAGATGCAGGCAGAATTTATGAGCTGTGTTAAGTAAGTTAGCAACCTGTAAAAACATGTTAAAACTTAAAAGAACGATACAACACTCCCCCACACCACCCTCTCACATTTTTCTCAGTCATCCACACAATGACAAGCCCAGATTTGGGAAACTGGGTTTGGAAGTGGGCTTCTGATTCTGGGTGGGTCCGCTCTCTCTTTCAGAAGAAGTTGTTAGGCAAGAACTCTGCTGACATACGGAGGTGTGTCTGATACCCTCTGCAGCCTGGAATAATAATGGCGGGGATGGTAGTTCTGAAGTGTGCCAGCAAAGTGGGTTTGGATATGACGCTCTGGAAATAGGTTCCATACTTCATGCAGCCCTCATTCTCAATCAGGGGTGGGTAAAAAAATTGGTGGGAGAAGAAAAGATGTTGAGAAAGGGGTAGGACCGGTGAGGAAATGGCCAGCCACCCTGTCTTGAGAAGTGGGGTCTCCATGTCCCCAGGATTCTCCCAGCTCAATCTTTCTGCATCAACCTGAAGAAATGGTCTCAACTACCTGGGAGAATCCTGGACCCTTTGCTCTTCAAGAAGCCCCCACCATCTGTGGAATCATCCCTACCAGGTGCTGAATTATACCTGGGATCAGGGTGGGTTTGCATTCCATAGTTTGAGCCCTAGAAGGCCCAGGAAGGTAAACTGCATAGGTGTATCCTGGTTATTTGATTAACCTTGAAATAACGCAAATTTGTGTTTTCCTGGTTAAATATTTTCGACTTCACTTATGGTGTTATGGCAAGGTTTTACTACTACTAACTGTGCAAAATCAAGGAAAATGTAGCTTTACCATTGTTCCAGCTCTGACATCTCTCATTATATCCTATCCACTTCAATAAGACTGTTGGGAGGATCAAAAGACAGTGAGAGAAGCAGGTCGGCAAGCAGAAGGCCTACACTATGTAAAGCATCATGTTTAGGATGGATCACCTAGTCTCTCCCTTTCCAAGTGGATCGTCCCAGGTTTTAAGAAGAATAAAGTTTATTGCCAGATAATAGAAAAGATTTGAGCAGACAAATGGAAGCCTCAACCTATTTGTTCTTCCTTAGGAAATTTGGTAGCTAAAAATGAGAGGTAACAGCCAAAGGTTTTATAGACCTTAGCAAAAAGAGAATGTTTAAGTCCTATCACCTTAAACACTAAAAGCCTTATTTAAGCAACATTATACTCAAGATACTTCAGGCATTTAAGGCAGGAAATATGCAAATTAAGATCTCCCTCATGAACTCCTGCTTATTCCTCTTAAGCATTTATGTTCTCAGGAAACTCATCTTAAATGTACCTTAAATGTGCATATGTGGAAAGACTTTATATTTAACAAGAAAAATTTTCCAGACTTGTAAAGAGCATCAGAAACTCAATGAGTATTAAATCAACTACTGCATTGCTTCAAGTTTTCTTCTGATTTTATCAATGACATAAAAATGTTTTATGTCATAATTGGCAAGTGTATACCATTTTTCGTGTAATCACTTTTTGAGCAACCACTGTGTATCAGAAGCTGGATATTACCTCTTAAGAAAGAACAAGTACACAGGTCTACGGCTTTCCTGGTGGCACAGTGGTTAAGAATCCGCCTGTCCATGCAGGGGACACGGGTTTGAGCCCTGGTCTGGGAAGATCCCACATGCCACAGAGCAACTAAGCCCGTGAGCCACAACTACTGAGCCTGTGCTCTAGAGCCCACAAGCCACAACTACTGAGCCCACGTGCCACAACTACTGAGCCCGTGCGCCTAGAGCCAGTGCTCCGCAACACAAGAAACCACCACAATGAGAAGGCCGTGCACTGCAACGAAGAGTAGACCCCACTTGCCGCAACTAGAGAAAGCCTGTGTGCAGCAACGAAGACCCAAGGCAGCCAAAAATAAATAAAATAAATTAAAAAAAAAAAAAGAACAAGTACCCAGGTCTCATACAAACAGCAGTAAATTAAATGACCATGCCTCAACCCAAATGAGATACTGAAAAAGGTCCTTTTAAGATGGCACCTCCCATCACTCATTCTGATCCACGGAGGATTTCTGTGTTTTCTGTTGGTGGAAGAATCCCTTAC